CGCTTGAGGAGGGAGGTCCCTGCGCCTCCAGGAGAACCACCACCGTCCCCCCTTCCGGGGCATCTTCTCCTTCTCCAGCTTGTCCACAGCACTCTGCAGCAGAGGGACCCCCACCACCCTTACACTGTGAGCCGGAGGGCCCTGTATGCCCTGGGTCTAGGGAAACCCTGGAGCTAGGCACCATCCACATCTGAAGGCTGAGGGAGCAGAGGGCTCCATCGGGGATTAGGCAGGGGCTGGAGTAGCTATGACCAGGAGGCCAAGAGTTCCAGCTCAGGCATGACTTGGACTCCAGATCTCGTGGGTTAGCAACCTGACTAGAGTGCTCCCCACCAGGTCCAGGTCTGCTACTCCCTGCCTGACGGCCCCACGTGGTGGCAGGAAGGTCAGGCTAAGACCATGCTCTGTAGCCTTCTGAGGCCCATGCTTCTCCCCCACAGACAGCCTCCCTGGCTGTGTGACACCTGGGGCAACGTGACCTTGTGAAATGGGCTAGACTGCTGCAAGGTAACCTCAGGGAGCACCTAGGCCAGATCCATCCTACAGATGCAGAAGGGGGGCCCACGGGAGGAAGGTGCAGGCTCAGGGTGGGTGGACTGGGCACTTAGCTGAGCGGGGATGGGCTTGAGGAGGGAAGCGACCCCTTCCTTCCCACACCCAGTCAGGGGTGGAGCAGGCACCAGAGACTGACAGCTGGTTGGTAATGGACCCAGGGCATGCTCGAATGATCTGGGGACAGTGGCTCATACCAGAGTGGGGCTTTGCATAGCTCCTAGATGGGCAGGGCTAACCTGGCAGGCACTGTTCTCCAAGACAAAGGGAGGTGGCTAGGGGGACCAGGGTGAAGGCTGGGGGTATGGGGGGCTTGGGGAGGCCCGAAGAGGCTGGGCTCATTCTCGCCCCTGAGCATCTGCAGGTGTTCCCTTACCCTGGTTACAGATGTAACCTGGTTACGGATGCTCACCCTCTGAACCCAGCACAGTGGGCATGTGCTCAGCAAACCCCCCTGGTGGCTCTCAAAGCACCCAGACTGCACCTTCTCTGCACTCACATGGGAGTTACATATGCATCTCCCTGTGAGGGCGGGAGGAGCCTTGGTGATGTAGGGGTTACATGTTGGGCTGTGATCCAAAGGTTGGCAGTTTGAAACCACCAGCTGCTCAAGAGAGAAAGATAGGGCTTTCTACTTCCGTAAACAGGATTCCGGAAACTCACAAGGGCAGGTCTACCCTGCCTTAGAGGGTCGCTGCAAGTTGGCATCAATTCATTGGCAGTGAGTCATGAGGGTGGGAACCAGTTCAAGACCACCTTTCCACCCCCCACCCCCCGCTGTGGGCCTGGCACACAGGATACACAGCGAACAAGCACCAAATGTCAAAAAAACAGCGTTCTGAGGGCGAGATGAAAAACAGGTCCCTAATCCAGAACCCTCTGGTGGGAGGCATGTCCCTCTTTGGCACCTGTGGGCTGGTGATGCCCCTCTGGTTTGTCTTGAGCCCTTCTGATGTACAGACCCAAGTCCAGTAGGATTCAACCAGGAAACCCAGGATGCCAAGATGAGTCAGGGTCTGTCCCCACAGGATAAGGGCAAGGCTGGGAGTGGGGAGGTGGGCACTGTCTCCTTCCTCAGGGGCCATCTCTGTCCACCCTCCACTTCTTTGCTAAGGGTCCCCTACCCCAAGGCTATGGCCACGACCCCCAGCAGGCCCAGTTGGTGACCCAGCGCTACCTGAGGCAGGTTCTTCTGGAAGGCTTGGAGGGAGAGGATCATGGGGGCAGCCACAGCCCAATTATAATGCCTGGAGGGAAAGAATGGGGCCGTAGGGACACAGGGCTCAGGCAGCTACAGGGTCCCAGATTTGGGGTGACTGACAGGCAGCCAGGAGCCCAGCCCTGGGACTCACTTCTTGTTGATTTCCACCACGAGGTTGGGGTCCTCCAGGAGGCTGGGGTTCTTGCAGAGGTCCTGATAGGAGACGGCATGCTGGGTGAACTTCTCTGGACACAGAGGCTGGGAGTGAGGCTGAGGCAGGCAGTCTCGGGGGCCTCTCCCGACCATGTGGCGTTTGTACCCATTGTCCCCGCCATGGGCCCCCGCTCATGCTGGATTTGCACCGTCCCTGCTCAGGGCTTTGTGGTGGCTTGGGAATGTCCAGTTTGGCTGAGAACAAGCTCCAGGGAGCCCAGATGAAGTCACCATACTCCGGAGTCTTAGTTGATCCCCTCTCATTCTCCCTGCTGTAGTCACACTTACCTGGGGAGACGCTCCGGCTGTCAGCCAGTCCCCCACAGAGGGACAACGCTATGGTGTCCACCGCGTCGGGGATGGGTTCTGCCTTGGGCTCGGAGGTCAGGGCTCCCAGGAGCTTCTGGTTGCTGGGCTCACTCCACCTCCTGGCCCCCAGCCCACAGTCACTGGGGACAAAGGAACCAATGGGAACATGAATACAAGGAGGCTGGGAGCAAGGGGCCCATGTGTCCTGAACTCAAGACAGTCCAGCTCCCCGGAACCCCAGCACCTTTGCGGGAAGTAAAGGGCCACGTTCTCAGAATCCAGGGAGGGCAAGTCATCCAGGTAGATGTCACTAGGACCCAGGTGCTGGCTTCTCTTCAGGGAGCCTGTGGGCAGAGGAGGGGCCACTGCGTGCTCAGCAGTGTGAGCAGCTGAGATGTCCCCTTCACCTTGAGGGTGCTAGCATGGCCCTGTCCCATTAGAACTTTCTGGGTTGATAGGCAAGTTCCTTATCTGTGCTGTTCAATGTGGTGGCCGCTAGCACACATGCTACTGGGCACCTGAATGCGACTCATGAGAGCGGGGGTCCCTGAAGTTTTCGCTTTGATTTTAATGACATTTTCAGTAGCGTTGTATGCCCAGTGCCTCCTGATTCTGGCAGTGCCAGCTTCGTGCCTTCTCTCCACGTGCCGTGTGCTGGGGTGGTCGGGCCTCTGCTCAGCTCCCCAGCTTCCTCCCAGCCCTTTCCTCGGCCTCGTTCAAGACTTGTTGGCTCCCTTGGTTCCTAGACCAGGATACCTCCTACCCACCGCCCCATGGGCCTGGACACACACAACTCCCTTGGCCTCAGATTCTCCTCCTCTCTTGGTTGGTTGGTGGGAATGTGGGAGCATGTGGCAAAGATGCTGGAGGCAATTCCTCACCTCCCCCGCCCCGCCCCTCCCGCATCTCTCATACCAGCAGGGTCACGCATGGTGGACGGATGTCAGTGGGCCTTCAGATAGGAAGAAAGGCCCGGGAAGCTACTTCTAAAGGTTGGCCCATGAAAACACAGTGGGGAGCACAACAAGCGGGAGAGGGCCAGAGGAGGAAAGGCCGATGGCTGCAGGACGCCTCAAGCAGACCAGCGGACGTGAAGATCGTGTAGGGTGGAGCAGTGGTTTGTTCTGTGGAACGTGACTCACCGTGCATCAGCACTGCCCTGACGGCAACTAACAATACTCCTCTCCTGAACAGACCTGTATCTTTGGAGAACCAAACACTACCCGTCCAAAGAGGTCTTCCCTGGTCAGGCAATGTAAATGCCCTCCCCTGCTGTCTCAACGCATCGCCCACGCCATGATCTACCTTGTTTACAGGTGCCATCTGCCCCATGGTGGGTGGTGCCCAGCACAGTTCCTGGCTGATAGGTAGGGATTGAAGTCCTAGCATCACCCAGGGGGCCATCACTCACCTTCCCTTCTGCCGGCTCCCATTGGTGGCCTCTGGGGAGCAGGGTCCTCCAGAGCTGCCCAGCTCCATGATTTTGTGGCAGGACGGAGGCGTATGTCCCCAGAACACTGAATCTTGGAGGCCTCGCTCTGGGGGTTGGGGAGTGGGGCCCCTGCCAGAGCAGGAGCCTCATCAGGCGACAGCAGGTCAGTGCCAGCCATGGTTTGCAGGACGGGGGGTCCTGAGGAGTCCGTGCCCACCACAGAGGCAGAGCGGGTGTTTGGCCCACCCCGAGGAGGAGAGAGGGTCTCGGTGTTGTCTTCAGACTGCTCTGCTTTGGCCACCTTGAATCAAAGCAAGGGGGAGGCTGTGGGCCAGGGCAGGGCCTGCCTCCCAAGGCAGCCCCTTCTCAGTCACCCCAATCCTGGCCTGCACATGTTACTTATTCTGCCATCGAATCAGCTGTGACTCATGCAGACCCTATAGGACACAGACTTATTTGGCTCTTCAAAAAAAAAAAAAATACCCAAAGCCTCCTTTATAGCTAATAATCCAGGATAAAAGTGGTGGTGTTTGATTTTGCAGCTCCTCCCCTCGCTGCGCCCCCCCCCCCCAGATTGTTCCAGTTCCCCGCTGGGGGCAGTATTACCTACTTTGGGAAGCAGTGCTATAGGACAGAGTAGCAGTGCCCTTTGGGGTTCCAAGGCAGAACCGTAAAGGGAGCAGGCAGCCTCACCTTTCTCCCGCACATGGGCCATGGAGCCGTTGGAAGGGAGATGGGGAGAGGACGGGGTTTGAGGTCTAGGAACTCACCTTAGGTAGCCGTCCCCAGGACCACTGCATGTGGGACTCCGCTCTCAGGGGGCTGGGCTCTGAGGCCCGCAGCTCCAGCTCTGAGTCGCTCTTGGGAGAGGCCAGCCCATCTGATGTGAAGCTGCAGGAAACAAAAGCTCAGCGCTTCCCAGTGCAGCCTGCTGCCCCCTCCCCATGGCCCCACCTTAGCCTGAGGAATTAAGATACACAACTCCTACGATTTCCATGTTGGATCAGCAAAATACACAAAGGACGTGTAAAAGAGTGTATATATATATAAAGAGCACCCACCAATCAACAACAAGAAAGTGAATCAGTACAAAAATGACAGGCCAGGGACTAGAACAAACACATTCTAGAGGAGAGGAAAAAGCAGGTGAGCAGTCAGCATGCTCATGCCATTGGCTATCAGAACAATGTACATTGCAATCACTGCGAGACCATGGCTTGGAGATGCTCACCTGGTCTGGGGAGTCCACTCCCCATCAGAGTAGGGGTAGATGTCTTTGAGCCGGGGTGAGGACTCCCCTTCTGCCTGGGCACCGCTGAGGGGCAGCAGGGAAATGGTCAGACAGGAAAGTCCTGGCCCTCGGGGTAGGGCATCAGAGCCTCTGAGTCAGGAGCCTGGGGTGGTGAGGTCCAGGGACTTGCCCAGGGTCACACAGCATGCACAGGGGAACTGTTGCCTGAACCCCAGGGGTTGCTGTCTCGACCCTGAGCTGCCTCTTACACACCCTAGGGACTCCGACTTTGGTTTTTCCAGCAGGGACAGCCCGCTCTCGGCGCCTGCTTCCAGCTCCTCTGAACTGGAGTCCGTTGCTGCGCCCTCCTTCCACCTGGGCTTCCTCCTGCGGCGGCGCTTCTTCCGCCCAGTGGAGGCGCCCCCTGCCACAACAGAGCCCTCGGGCTCACTGGCTGTGCCCCACTGGGAGTCTGAGGGGAAGCCTGACAGGCCCCCCCAGGGGAGGGGCGAGGTGCACAGCCGGGGAGGCACAAGTTCCTGTGGAGCAGACAAGGGGCAGAGCTGAGGGGGGACAGAGCTGGGGTGGGGGTGGGGGGTCATGCTTGTCACCCAGAGCCCTGCCTGAGTTCCGGGAACAGCAGGTGAACAAAGGCAGGGGAGCACAGCTTTGCAGCTGTGGGTCCCTGAGTTCCCAGATCCAGGGAGCCACTCTAGCTGCCTGGGTGCTGCTGCCCTACAGAGGACCCTGGGCATCAGCCTTTTGGCTTGTCCTCTGCCCACATCTCCTTTTAAGACTCAGCCCAGGTGTCACCTCCTCCAGGTGTCACCACCACTTGTCCTGACCGTCCCCGGGTGGCTGCCAGCCCCCCTCACTGCAGTGGCCACAGTATTCCATCATCTGCTGCTCCTGTGCCTTGCCTGTCTCCCAGACTAGTCTAGGAAGCTTCTCGAAGATGAGGGTCATGCCCAGTTCAAGGGGACCGCAGAGAGTCGCCAGTCCACAGCAGGAGCTCAATCAAAACTTGTCAAAAAGCTCCAAACACTGTAAACATCCATTGGCTTTTGTTTCCCTTCCGCAGACTCCTGGCTCTGGCTCCATCCCCAGAATAAGCCACACCTTATGCTCTCTGGCACCCCAGCACCCAGGCCAGGCCTCAGAACCACCTTCTAAGCTGCCTGGAAGTGCTTCCTTTCCATCTTCTGGTACCTGGCTAGAGAAGCTCTCCCAGCTGCCCTGGAAATATGAGCCCATCTGCCACTCTGGGCATTAGTTTGCATCAGGTTCCTGCCAGGGGAGTGCTCCCGAGGAGGGCAGGGAGGAAGCCTAAGGCCCTGCCCAGAGGGGTCCGCAGTGCTGGGGCGGGGAGCACTCACCTCATCACTCTCCAGCTCCTGGACGAAGAAGGCCTCCCCGCTGTCCCCCAGCTTCATGTGCAGGTCCACTGGCTCCCCATTGATCTCGATATCCACCTGCATGGCAGGGCAGGACAGGCCTCACTGGCCTGCTGTAGCCCACTGGCCTGGCTGGCACCCTGCCCATGGTATCCCCTGTGCCCAGACCTCTGTGTGCCCAGTTGCTTCCTCCAGCAGGCATCTCTACCCTCTTTCTCCTTCCTCAGAGAGGCCATCGCCCAGGGGCCCACCCTGGCCCTCGGGCATACTCTCCGGTGGATCTCAATGGTCCCATGTTCCTGTCTGCCCCCATACCCCACAAGAACAAGAATGGACTGTATCTTATCACTGCCATACCCCAGTCCCCAGGGCAGTGCCCACCCATTAGATGACCACTGAAAAGGGGGTAAGCGTCACCACTTAAATACACACACACACACACATTTTTAGTTATGTCTCATTACGTCTTCACGAAACCCCATAAACTAGCTCCTGTTATTATCCTTCCTTGAGGAAACAGACTTGGAAGGGTTAAGTCACTTGCAGGGCAGTGGCCCTGAGAAGCTTCAGAGCCCACAAAGTCTGTGTCCACACCCTGGCTCTTGGCCACAAGATGTCCAACTCCCATTAGGTTACTCTTTCCTGTTAGGATTCTGGGATGTTCATAGCAAACCAACGGGGAGGTGGCTTGGGACCAAACAGTTCATCCACATGCAGGGTCTTAAAGTTAACAGAGGTCTCGACCCCCACACCCCCACCCCACACAGTGGACTGTGGGGTTGCTACAGGAGTGTTTGCAAAGGGACACTCAAAGTGCCCCCACACACCTACCCTGGGGCAAGGTTATCAGCTCCCAGGAATCCTCCCAGTCCACCCCCAAACCAGGCGGATAAGCTCACTCCGTCACACCTGTGAGGCGACTCACCGAGAACACCGAGGTACGTTCTTGGTAAGTAGGAGCCAGGTCTGATGGGCTCTAGTGTCACGGCCTACCCCGCGATGCCGCCGGCATGGGACAACGGGACCCACTCCAACCCTTGGAAGCCCCCTCTGAGACGTCGTCGCACCACCCCAGCCGGCCAGCACTCACCACCTTCTCGCGAGAGCGCAGGACACCCAGCTTGCCGAAGCGCACGTGGAAGGGGGAGCAGCGGAAAGAGCCGTCTTGCTGCTCCACCACCAGCACGTCGATGCCGCCGCTCAGCGTGGCCGGGTTCAGACCCCGGTACAGCTCCTTCACCGTCCCGAACACCGTCCCCGCCAGCTGCCCCACGTAGTTCATGGCCGCGGCTGGAAGCACAGCCGATGCTGTGGACCGCCCTCCCACAGCCTGGCCCCGCAGGGCCGCCGGGGCTTACCTTGAGTGGGGTCACGAAGGCTAGCAGGTCCTCGGTGCGGGGCCTGTGGACAGCCGCCTCCCGTCGCCCGGTGCCAATCTCCACATCTGTCGAGTGAGGCCTCGCGTCAGGCACTGCTCAGGAACGCTGGGCCCCTAGTGCCATGACTCACGACAGTGACCGCAGCGCCCCGTGGGCACGGCCCTGTCCCCTTCATAATAACCTTGCGTAGCTGGCTGGGCAGGTTTCATGACTCCTGTTTACTGAGCAGCCCGCTAGGGCACAGAGTGGTGGAGTGGCTGGCTCAGTCACACCACCTGGCAGCGTTGAATCCAGGTCAGTGTGGCTGCAGAACCCTGGGTGTGGCCAGACCCAGCCCAGCGGGTCCTGATGGCTCAGCTCGCTCTAGAGGATGGGGGTGGGACTGGGGGCGTGTGCACGATGGTGGGGGGAGTGTCTCTGCTCTTCCATCTGAGAAATGAGTACAGTTGTCTTGTCTCCCAGTCCGATGTGTTGGGCAGAGGCTTGGCAGGCCACCCTGACTACTTTGTAGGGGATCAGGAGGGAGGGCACACCCCAGGTACCTCAGATTCTGCCCAAAGCCAGATGCCCCAAAGACGCACAACTTCCCTGTTTCTCTGGTGAGAAGTCCCTCCGTGGGTCACAGCCTGACCCCAGGATCCCTAGGCCAGAGGTCCCAGCCCCTAACCTCAGTCCTGACCCTACTCCTCAGATGGAGGTTGGCTTTGCTGGCCAGTCCTCTGGTCCTTTCCAGGCCATGGCCTGCCTCTCCTCCCGGTCAGACCAGTCTCTCCACAGCAGGGAGGGCAGCATGAGCCCAAAGCCAACCGGAAGAAGCCAGGGCCACCATCATGAGAGCCACCTCCAAGCTGGTACAATGCCTGCCCTGCTCCAATCAGCTCATCACCCCAGTATGTTGGCCAGGCCCGTGGCCCATCACCCCCTCCAGAGGACATGTCCGTCTCACTGGTCCTGCCTCAGCAGCCCCACAGGACTGCCCACCATGCAAGACCACCTCTCAAAGAGGTCAAGCAAGGGATCCAAGTCTTAAGCTCATAGCGCCAGAGGTGAAGGAGGCTGGAAAGGGTGGGATGGTGATTCCAATGCCCGTCTCTGGGTTCCTTCCACTCCACGGTCTCTGTTTCTCTGACAACCGTGCACAACCTCTGTCCCACTCATAATGCAGTCTGTGGACCAGCTGGTTAGAAACATGGATTCCTAGGCTCAACTCAGCCCGAATCAGCCACAGCACCAACACCTGCCTTTAATGAGTCCCCCAGGTGATTCTCGTGCCCTTCAGTAGTGCATGGCCTCAGACCCTCACCTCCACCCACAGACGGCAGGCACTTCTCAGCTAAGGGCTGCAGCCTCCCTGCCCCCAGCCTTGGGTCGGGCTGTGGATTCTTCTGGTCTATGGCGCACAGTTATGATGGCTTCAGAGGACTGCTAAAACATCACTCAAACCCAATCATTATTTTACCTGCAAAAAGAAAAACAAAACTCAATGCCTTCAGGTCAATTCCAGCTCACAGCCACCCCTCAGGGCAGATGGAGTAGAACCACCCATCGGGTTTAAGAGATCATCTTTCTGGAAGCAAGCTGCCACACTGTCTTCACCTTGAGCGGCTGCTGGGTTTGAGCCACCGACCTTTCTGTTAGCAGCCAAGTGCTTTACCACTACACCCTATTATGTGCTGGGTGAAACTTCCTACTTTGGTTTCTCCCAACCCAACACCAAACGCTAAGAGCACACGCAGGTCTGGGTGGACTGAGAGTGACGAGGACAGACACTTGGTGGGGAAGGGTCTGTGAGAGTCTCAAGGGCTGTGAGAGTCCGGAAGCCGAGTGGACTCTGGAAGCTCCCACGAACAAAGATGCAAGCGTGGCAAGGTCAGGCCAGGATCGGGGCGAAGGTCTGCCCAGCTGGAGGCCCCACTGAGCGTCCCGTCCTGTCCTGCCCTGCCCTGCCCTGCTGAGGACAGAAGACCTGGGGGCAGGAGGAGCAGGGCAGGCTCAGCTCCATCTGTCTGGAATTCTTTGTTGTGGGGGCTGTCGAGTCAACTCCCAATTCAGAAAGGATCTGATCACGGAGACAGCTTCCTTGGTGGTGTCAAATCGCCCACCTTTTCATTAGCTGCCCACTGAGCCCCAAGGCTCCTCACTGGTCTAGGAGGAAGAATCAGTGCAGAGATGACCCCCGGGGATCACTCCCGTCCTTGGAGTCCCCCATGAAACATCTCTCCAGACTCCACAGGGCTTCTTTCCTCTCCTCGCCCCCTTACCCCACATCTCCCTTAGTATCTTGCGCCCTCCCACCTCCCAGGGCTGCACCTGTTCTTGCCCCAGCCCTGCCCCCTTCATCTCCACCAGACGCAGGGGGAGCTACATCACCCTTCACGCGGGACCAAAATCAAATGCCTTCTCTTCACCCAAATGTCCTCTTAAGGACTCTAGCCAGCTAGCTGCCTCCCAGGGCCCTGAATCGCCTTCCCCAGTTTTCTGCTCGCTCATCTGGCCCCTTCTTTTTGCACCTGCCGAGTTAGATTATGAGTATTCCCAGATCGTGAGTGACAGCAAGACATGGTGGGTCGGTGGGCACCAAACTATCTAGGTTCTAATCTCCACCGCCACTCACAACATTGCTGTGAGACCTAGAGCAAGTTACCTCACCTCTCTGGGCCTCAGTGTCAGCCGCTAAACCCCTGATACTGATAGACCCGCCCTGGGAAGGTGGGTGTGAGGAGGGAAAGAGATACTCTGGGGCAAACACTGACAAGCAGTACATGCCTAGTATGTCGCTTGTCATCTTTGTCATCAAGCTGGTCTGTGACGCTCAGTTGCCCAGGTGGGACACGAGGGCACCATCAGTGGTACTCTGTCGCTGGGCGTTTGTACTTCTTAAGTTGGCACCCAAGGCCCTGGGGATGGTGGCCCCAACTGTCTACACAAAGTGGGCAGCGGGCTCCAGGCAGGGGTCATGAGTGTCTGGTCCAAGCCTCGGCCCCCCACTCCGGCAGCACACACACGTCTCCCAGGAGGGTTTGCCCTGCACCACAGCGGCGCCCGAGCTAGCGCCCCGGGCTGTGCTGTCAGCCCTTATGGGGCCCGGGGTTTGGGGGAGGGGACAGGAGGATAAGCGCTCCTAGAGCCTGGAAGGGAGACAGCGTCGCCCAGGCTCCTAGCGGCGACCGCGGGTACCGCACCCGACTCAGTCGGCGAAGGGTCAGTCCCAGTTTTGTAACTGAGGACACTCAATGGCTGAGAAAAGAACCCTCCCTAAGGCCACACAGCCGGGGGTGAGGCCGGGTCTGTCTCCTCTGCGTCCGAGGTTTTCGTATCTCTTTCCAGATCCCATTGCTCTGCGGGTGGGGTCCGAGCGACCTCCCGCCGCAGGACTTCAGTCCCCTCTACCCTTAACGTCCTATCTGATGGCAGAGGTGGAGTCAGGCCCGCGAACAGGAAGAGCCGAGGGTCAGGTGGCAGGACATGGGCAGAGGGGGGCCACTTCTCCCCCGGCCCGGGTTGTGCCCTACCTGAGCCGCCGCCTCTACCTGAGCGCACAGGCCCAGCGGTAAGAGTCTTCCTCGGCTGCACACTGCCCAGCGCTTCCGTCTCCAGTCGACGCCGACCCCGCCCCTCCAGGAGCCAGGTGCGGCTTCGCCCCGCCCCGCCCCGCCCGCCCGGGCTCCACCCCCGGGGAAAATCCCGCTCCGTCCAGCGTTCTAGCAAGAGGACGCCATTTCTCTTAAGGAGGCTGGGCGGGGCCAGAGTCAGGCCGCGCCCCCTCGGCCTCAACGCCAGCCCCGCCCTGCGGCCTTCCAGTAGCTTTTTAGCAGGTCCCCTCCCACCTGGCACCTGGCCCACGGCCCGGGGAGGCGAAAGCCGGAAAGCCGGGCCTTTGGAGTTGGGCTGACCTGGGCCCTCCTGCTGGGCTTCCCGCTCACTGTGGGACCTCAGGTAAGTTCTGCACCCTCTCGGCACCCGTGGGCTGCTTGTCCTGGGAGAGTCAATGGTAGCCACCCTGCAGGGTTTGTCCAGAGTACAGTACATGAAATGCTTGGCGCTCAAATGCCCCCTGACTCCTCCGGACCAGACGAGGCCCACGTGTCAGACACCCAACCCACAATTGTAATTTTATGCGAGTATTTAGTTGAATAAGCAGCCCGGCTGGCGTGTGAGGTAGGCACTGAACGCCTAACCTCGAGGTCAGCAGTTTGAATACACCATGCCCTACCCGATGGGAGCACGGTGAGGCTGCCATAGAGGTTGAGAGTCTCAGAAATCGGGTAGCTATGAGTCGGAAGCCACGGAGTGGCAGAGTTTGGTTTTAACCTTTTGATTCATGTTTGTTCCCTTGCCCATGAGCTCCGTGGGAGCAGGCCTCGGGTTGGTCGCGTTCAAGGGTCTACATTAAGCGCTGAGTAAAAGCGAGTCCCTTCCATCTGCAGACGTCCGGGTGCAGTTCAATCCCCGCCCTGGCCAGCAGAGGGCAGGCGGCGCCCAGCTTTCGCGCCCAGCGGCGTCCTCGCCCGACCTGCCTGCGCCCGACTGGCTTCCGTCGAGGCGGGTGCCCAACAAATGCGGGAGCCTCGCCAGCCCTGGAGACTCGGGATGCCCAGCGTCTTTTCTCTGCGTATCTGTGGTTCTCGGCCCCTGGGACAAGGAGTGCACAGGTAGGACCCCTGCGAATGGCTCAAGTTCGCCTGCTGAGTTTAGGTATGGGGAGCAGGGTGGAGGCTGGCTCCTATTTGCTGTCAAGGGGGCGGGCAATGGCGAAGAAACCAGGTTTGAGAACGTGGTGGGCAGCGAGGAATGAGGTGGCCGCCGTTGTTGTGTTGATCCAACGTGACAAGACCTGGTTGGAAGTAGTACCAAATGATTTGGTGTCAGCTGACCCCAGGCGGTGTCTGATTGGTGTCTCTTAGGGGTCTTGCGTGGGGGGCAGTGCCAAGACACAAAGATGGCCGGCGGCATTGTACCTGGATACGTAGATACCTTCGGCTGTATGTACACCTGGGACTGTGCCACCTGGTTAAGCACTTGGCTGCTGAAAGAACAGGTGGCGGTTGAAACCCGCTAAGCTGAGACACCTGGCTCCAGTGAAGACTGACAGTCTTGCAAACCTGGAGGAGGGCCTGTGCCCCATTGGGACTTTCTGAACCAGAATGGACGCCAGCAGTGGGCATGGTTATATCACAGGGAAACGCTGGGGACTTTGGGACACCAGGAATGCCTGCAGGGAGCCTGGGACGGAAGAGAGGCAAGGACAAGAGTTTGGGGCTACACGACACCGCAGTCACTCTGTGTCTTTGAGCAGTTTCTTATCTCCAACCTCGAGAGTAATCCTGTGTTGAGGGACTGTTCCTGTGAGGATTAAACAGGATGGACTAAGTCAGTGATTCAACCTTGGCATTGGAGTCAGCTGGGTCCTTGGATGATAGCGAGGCTGGGCAGAGCTCCCCAGGGCTTTGTAACATGCAGCCAGGCTGGGAACCTCTGTACGTGTTGATCAGATTCTTTTTTTCTTTTTTTTAAAGATTGAGCACAAATAGCTCTCCTGGCTCCTTGTTACTTGGAGGAAAGAAAGCATTGTTACAGAGAGAGTGGGTTTCCTCCAGTACGATTCTGGACTCTTGGCCTTTCTGGGATTTGGGGGTGGGGCAAGGGGGGGTGGGTGGAGGACAGCAACAGCTTCTGGGAGGGTAGTTTGTCCCCACAGCCATCGGAGCAGGACGAGGTGAAGGCCACCCTGCTCTCGCCTGGGTTCATATCCCCTGAGACAAGCAGCACGGGCACTTGTTGGTCCATTTCTGTGGTCACGGCCATTTTCTCCTTCCCGCTGCCACCCCTTCTCCAGGTGGGCCTGCACCACCCACAGCAACTAGCCTCTTGATTAACCGGAGGGCCGCGGACAGTTCCCACTCTACAGACCGCATGTGGTTCCTGAAGTCACAGATCCAGGAATTGACTGCCTGCATCCTGCTTCCTGGGCCTGGCCCTCTCACAACTTCTTGCTTGGCTCAGCCAGGTGCGGGAGAAAGACTCATTCAGGCCTGCAGCTGTGGTCACTCAGACTAGCTGTTGGGAGCAGCTTCTCAACCCCTCTTGGCGGCCTCATTGAAGGCGGCAAGAGGTGCACCTGGAAAAGGAGGCAGAGGAGGCGGCGGGCAGTGAGCAGCAGGCAGCTGTGCCTGGCTGGGCTTCCCAAACTGGACTGCACATGGCTGATCAACAGCAGGTGTGGTTTAGTCAAGGGCTGGCTCATGGAATGTTGGGAACATTCTGTTCTGTTCTTAGAGGGTCTCGGAGTTGGAACCGACTTGATGGCAGTGAGTTTTGCTTGAGCCCTGGTGGCATAGTGGGTTGATTACGCGTTGGGCTGCTAACCTCAAGGTCTGCAATTCAAAATCACCAGCTTCTCCACAGGAAAACGATGAGACTTTCTACCCACCAAGAGTTACAGTCTCAGAAACCCACGAGGGCAGTTCTACTCTGCCCATAGGGTCACGATGAGTCAGAATGGACTCGGTGGCTGTGAGGTTTTGGGAGTTTATTCTTTAAAAAAAATTATCTGACACAGACGTAACTGAGCATTCTTTATTTTTATTTGGGGGACCTGCCAATCCCATGTCTGGCCAAGCAGCCAAGGAGAGACCAGCTCGTAGGACATGCTGTCGGCAGCGGGCTCCTGTCCCAGATTACAGATTGCCACATTCAGTTTCCACCTGTCGCTGCTCTGCTCCAGAACTGTATGTGGCTCCCAGCTGCTCCCACAGCAGAACTTGGCCTTCCTGGCTGCTTAGCCGGGCCCTGGCTGCCGTGCCAGCCCAGCTGACCCGCTTGGGCCCTTTCCCACCTTTGCTGCCTCCTGTTCCCTCTTGCCCGTTCCCAGTAGCAACCACGAACCCTCTGAGCTGCTTCCCATGCAGCCACCATCCTGAGTTCATGTGTGTTGTCGTCTCATTACTTCCTCACAAAGCCCAGTATGGTGGGACTGTACTAATTTGAGGAGTCGTGGTGGTGTCGGTGGGTTACATGTTGGGCTGCTCACCACAGGGTCAGCAGTTTGAAACCAACAGCTGCTCCTTGGGAGAAAGATGGGCTTTCCACTTCGGTAAAGAGTTGCAATCTTAAAACCCACGGGGGCAGTTAGTTCTACCCGGTCCTCTAGGGTCACTGAGTCTCAATCAACCCGATGGCATGAGTTTTTTGGTTTGTACTACCTCTCTGTTATCAAGAAAGAAATGGATTCAGACAGGGGTTCTCAAAGTGGGGTCTCAGGACCAGCAGGATTAGAATCACCTGCTAGGAATGCAGATTCTGGGGCCTCCCCCGCCTTGCTGAATCAAACTCTGGGCCTGGGGCTCAGCAATCTGTGTTTTAAGCTCGCCCCTCACTGCCAGGTGATTCTGATCTAGTTTGAGACCCGCTGACCTAAGGATGGTGTGATGGCAGGGCACCAGGTCTGCACCAGGCACTGGGCATGTAGCAGTGGTCTTGGGAGGAGTGAGAAGGTAGTCAGGTGAGTACGATGTCCTATGACAATTGGCTGAGTTGGGGCCAGCCCTGGATTGGTGGGGATTAAAGAAAGCTGCTACACCTGAATTAGCTAGATGAAGACCAGTGGAAAGGGTGTTCCAGGTGTGCGGGCTCTTGTTAGGGGCCTCCCCCTGTGTACCACAGGATGCAACACCACCGGGTCCTGCGTCATCCCACCTCATTGTTAGGCTTCAGCCGTTCTTGCAGCCACTGGGTCAGTCCATCTCCTTGAGGGGCTTCCTGCTTTACCAACCACGATGTCCCAGAGCTGGTCTGAACCGGTTCTTCCTGGTAACATGTCCAAAGTATGGGAGACCAAGTCTTGCCATTCTCGATTCTAAGGAGCATTCTGGCTGTACTGCTAAGACAGCCTGGTCATTCTCCGAGCAGTCCAGTCCATGGGATAGTGG